GAATATAAATGTTTTAACACAATAACTAAGAAAATGACATAAAGGCTATGTTAACCAGTTTGATGAAAATATTTCAAATTGTATATGAAAACACCACACTATACCCCATGATTGCATTAATGTACACAGTTATCATTTAATAAAAACAAAGAAAAAGAAAACTCAAAAAAATGGGCAGAAGATTTAAATAGATATTTTACCAAAAAAGAGGATAGATATATGCATTACAACAAAAACATAAAATGTTGCTCAATATTGTTAGTCATTAAGAAAATATAAATTAAAACCACATTAGATACCACTACATAACTATTAGAATGGCTACATCTTTTTCTTTATAAAGTTCTTTTTTAAAAAAAATTCAGAATATTATAGGAATACACACATTGTGGTTACATAGTTCATTTTGTACATTTCACGACAAAGCATGACCTTCACCCCACATGTGTGGATTATACCTGTTACGTATGAATTAACCCAGCCCTTCCTCACCCCCTCCCACCTACTTGCTTCCTGTTGAATTTTACTTTCCTAAGTGCACTTGATGGACTACTTCCAGTTTAGTATTGAGTACATGTGTTCGTTTTTCCATTCTTGTGGCATTTGACCAAGAAGAATGGTCAGCAAGTCCATCTAGGTTGTTACAAAAGATACTAGGTCACCATTTTTTTTATGACTGAATTGTACTGTATACAAATAACATATTTTATTAATCCATTCATGTATTAATGAGCATTTGGGTTATTTCCACATCCTTGCAATTTTGAGTTGTGCTGCTATAAACATTTAAGTGCAAGTGTCTTTATGATAAATGTTCTTCTTTCCTTTGCATAAATACACAGTAGTGGAATTGTTAGATTGAATGATAGATTTACGTTTAGTTCTTTGAGGTATCCTTTATAGAGGCTGTCCTAGTTTGCAGTCCCACCAACAGTGTATGAGTGTTCCTTTCTTTCCGAATCCTCACCGACACTTGTTGTTTTGGGACTGTGTGATAAGAGCCATATAAGGGCTAACTTTAAAGTGACTGGCCATACCAAGTGTTGGCAAGAATGTGGAGAAACTGGAACCTCATATGCTGCTGATGGGGTTGTAAACTAATACAACCAGTTTGTAAAACATTTTTTTCTTTGTTTTTTGTTTGTTGTTTGACAGAGTCTTGTAGTTTGTTTTTTGTTTGTTTTTGTTTTGAGACAGAGTCTTGCTCTGTTAGCCCTGCTAAAGTGCAATGGTATCATCAACAGGAGTTGCCAACTCAAATTCCTGTGCTCAAGGGATATTCCTGCCTTAGCCTCCTGAGTAGCTGGGACTCCAGGCATGTGCCACCATGGCCCACAATTTTTTTCCATTTTTAGTAGAGATGGGGTCTCGCTTTTCCTCAGGCTGGTCTTAAACTCCCTAAAACCACCCTCCCATCCTTGGCCTCCTGGAGTGCTAGGATTACAGTGTGAGCCACCAAACCGAACCTGGTTTTGTCTTTAAAAGTTCAACATCACAAATCATATGATGCAACCATTCTACTTCAAGATACTTTGTCAGGAGAAATAAAAGCAGATGCCCATACAAAGATCTATACACAAATGTTCATAGCTTTATTTATAATAGCCCAAACCTGGAAACAAATCAAGTGTCCTGAACAAGTGAATGAATAAGTAAATTTTGGTATTGATTCATGCTACCACTTGGGTGACTCTTACAATAATTACGAGTGAAAGAAGCTGGACCAAAAAAGAGAGTGTTTTTTGTATGAGTCCATTTCTAGTCCAAAATTCTAAAAAATTGAAATTAATTGTGTAGTGACAGAAGGCTGATAAGTAGTTCTTTGAGACTAAGGGAGAAGAGTTGTAGGACAGAGGGCAGATCTACAATGGGGCATGAGGGATGGACATGTTTGTTATCTTGACTGTAATAATCTCACTGGTGTGAATGTCAAAATTTTTCAAATGGTACATTTTATTCATATGTATGTTCAGTTTATTGTACATGAATTATGTATCAATGAACCTGGCTAAAAGTGGATAAGAACCACGTGAAATTCTCTAGATTCTTCTTTTCCTGATACAGTTTGCTTTCAGTTAGAAACGCTTTTAATTTGAACTCTTTTATACCATCTCATAATGTATTCACAACTCATTTTGGCAGAATAAAGATCTGACTCTTTTAGTTAAGGAAATGGAGCAGGGGCAGAGTGACCTGGAGAAGGTGCAAGACCTTTATTCTGAGTCCTTGATCATGGATTGGTGGTACAACGTGGAAAAGGAAGGAGACAGCAAGTGAGTTGCCAGATCCCCTGTCTTCCCCATGGCTGGGGGCCTCTCAGACACCCTGTTTGCTTCCCCCAAAAATGTTCTGTGAGATTTCTTTCAGTGAAAAGAATCACATGGTATGATCAAGTTAGGTTTCTTTTAAGCAAAGAGAATTAATAATTTAAGAACAATGGACTTTTTAAACTTTCTATCTCTACCTATTGTGGACAGCCCTCCATATCCACTCAACCCAAGCAATGACAGGGAAGAGAGGAGCTGTGGGCAAGGAGACTGGACTCAGGGATCAGGAGGCCTGGGGTCTGGACGTCACCTCATGTGACCCTGGCGAGTCCCGTAATGTCTCTCCACACTGCCACATTGCTATAGGGTTCAGTTTCCTCCTCTGTAAAATCATGGCTGTGGCAATGAGGTTTGGGATAGACGATTTCTCAGGGCTGTCCATATCCAATTTTCTAACATATTTCTAATCAGTAGTTTTTAAACAAAAATCAAAACTACCTCCCACACTCAGGACATTTGTCAAATCTTATTAAACCATTACCCCAGATAGTCAAGTTATCACAGCCTACCCTGTAGCATAGTATCTTTATATTTAAAAGAATGATGGCAAACTGGGAAAAAATTGAAAATACATTTATTAATCAGAATTTCTTGTTCATCAAAATGTATTATCTTTCTAATATCAAATTAAACATTCATATGGGTTGGGGACAGGACATGAACATGGAATCAGTAAAAAGGTCGGTGTTATAACAGCCATCTTACAAGATGATTTTATAGCACTATTGTTTAAGTATTTGGGTAAGAACAGACACATCCTCTAAACTCAAAAAATCTAAAAAGATTAACAAAGAACCAAATAAATGAGCAGCACTCAAGTGTAAATTATTTGCTTCTTATTCTCAGCCAGGACCTATAAGTGCCACATTGTGAACTGTTTTTCAAGTTTTCACATTACTTTTTACATTACTAAATTTCAAGGTTTTATGTTACTTTTTTATGATATATGTTTTAGTATTGTTTTTGAAGTTTTTATTCTGTTTTGTAATAAAACACCGTGGCCCCAAGGAAAAATGTTTTATTTTGTGGCAGTCAATGTGTTAACCATTGTCTTCCCCTATTCATAGACTCAAACTAAAAAATTTCAGGACAAAGTGACCAGCTCTTTCTTGAAAGTTGGATTGGTCTGTTGAATGTGTCTATTGAATTGAGTAGTGGATGCAGTCTTGGATTTTATATTTCTTTATTAGGGGCTGGAGGGATCAGAGAACCATTTTAATATTCCAGACATTGTGTGCTGGGTGGACAGGTTACTTAACCTGGTGAGCCCCAGTTCCTGCATCTGTTACATAGAAATAATGGCAGTCCCAGGACCATTGGGTGTATTAAATGAGAATATACCTGGCATGTAATAAGAGCTCAGAATTGACATAAGGAGTAAAAGGCAGCACCTCAACCTTATAAAATTCATGCTTCTGTACTTCCTTACACTTAAGAAAAGTTGATCCTCTTACTTAGCTATAGTCAACAACAAACTGCCCTTTGTTATAGTCTCAAAATCTTTTTTTCAAACCTTTTATTGAGTCAAAGTTATGTACCAAGAGAACTGGGATGCACAAATAGATATAAGCCTGGTGCTCTCTGCCCTGGATACACAGGGTGGACACAATCACACAGAGGATTATGGAGTGGGGTGGGTGCTCCATGGAGGTATTTGGGGGACAGCTGGTGACAAAGAGAGGGCACACTTTACAGTGTTGGAGCAGGGGATTTTTCCAGAAACTTTCCTGTCTGTGTTCAGAACTACAAAGAAAGTAATGTCTGGGAAAATATGTAAGGACTTCTAGGATCCTCCCCCCGCCCCCCCCCCTCCCGCCGGCCCTATATTTTCTCCAGAATCGTTTGCCACGGAAGTTTCCTTTCTCTAGCTTTTGTAAGAGCTTGCTGGTTGACACTTTGGTTAGGAAATGGCTTTCTGTATGCTTATGCATTTACAACCAGCTCTTCTTCATATTAATGCCCGCAACAGCCTACATGGTGGGGCACAGGTGAAGTTTCCTGCATTTCAGATGAGGAAAGGGAAGAGATTTAGAGAGGACTGAGCCACTTCCTCAAGGTCACATAGCCAGGAGGGACTAGACTCGTGACGTGAGCTGTATCTTCTGATTCCATGGCTGGGGCTCTATCTAGTCTTCTGCATGGAATAAGAAAAAAAAGGCTATTTTTATATTAATCTAAATGAGGGAAGGCTCACTTCTTTAAGTTTGAAGTGTTCAACATGAAGGTAATGATTTAACTCTGCTTTCTTGATGGAAATTTTCTTTCCCCTCCTTTTTTTTTTTTTTATCTTTTTTTTTTTTTTTTGGTCTACTTTTTATCTATATCAAAGCAGGCATCAAAAGGAAATCTGTTCTATGGTTTCAACCCCAGAAAAATGTGCAAAACTTCAATCTGATGTCGAATCAATGAGAGCCTGGTCCCTGAATATGTTGAAAGAACCATCAGGCCTTTTGGATCAAAAGAGTCAGAAAAGGAAAGTCCTCCATGCAGGTATCAGTGAACAAAACGGCTTGACTCTTTACTGGTTTGGCTTCAGTGCAAGAAAATAGAATAAAACGAAACTCATATAGTATTTTTTTAAAAGCCCTAACATTGTATGTATTAATTAGAAGTTTTATTAAGATAATTATACATTTCGCAAAATCTCATGTACTTCCCCTTCACCCAGTTTTTCCCAGTGGTAACCTCTACTACAGTACTGAAGCCAGGATACCGATATTGATCTGATCCATGGGTCCTATTCAGATTGTCCCAGTTTTACTTGTATCCATTTGTTCTTTTATAACCACATCTACCTTCCTTTAAACCAGTGGTTCTCAACCTTCCTAACGCAGTGACCTTTTAATACAGTTCCTCATGTTGTGGTGACCCCCAACCATAAAATTATCTTCATTGCTACTTCATAACTGTAATTTTGCTACTGCTATGAATCGTAACATAAATATCTGATATGCAGGATCTATTTTCATTGTTACAAAGGGGTCACAACCCACCTGCAGCAGAACCGCTGCTTTAAACCCTTCCCTACAGCTAAAATTATACTAAATGGTGAACGACTGAGTTATTTCCCCATAAGATTGAGAAATAGGTAAGGATGTCCTCCCTTACCACTCTTATTCAACATAGTACTGGAAGTTCTAGCCGCTGCAACCAGGTAGTCTATTGAACTAATTTTGCACCTTTGTCAATACCAGTTGGGTATATTTATGTAAGTTAAATCTCTATTCTGTCTGTCCCTCTGTCCAATACCACACTATCTTGAAGAAATAAAGCCAGAAAGGTGGGGAAGGATAAAAGTAATCTGTCTCTATCTGTGGATAGCATATTGTCTATGTAGAAACAGCAAGAGAGCTACCAAAAATAGAAATTCCTAGAATTATTACATGAGTTCAGCAACATTGCCACTGATAGGCTCAACACACAAAATTAATTGCATTTCAGTATACTAACAATCAACCTACAGAAACCATATTAAAAGCCATCTATAATTACTGCAAATAAAATAAAATACATATACACTTAACATTTACAAGATCTGTGTGTTGAAAACTACAAAATTCTGCCCTAAGACATCAAAGAGGACCTAAATAAATGGAGAAACATACCATGTTCTCACCCAATTGCTCTACATGTTTAATTTAACTCAAAATAAAATCCCAGAAACATTTTTTTTAAGACAGAGTGTTACTATGTCACCCTCAGTACAGTGCCATGACCTCACAGCTCACAGCAACCGAATCTCTTACCTCAGCCTCCCAAGTAGCTAGGACTACACGTGCCTGCCACAATGCCCAGCTATTTTTTTTTTTTTTTGGTTGTAGTTGTCATTGTTGTTTGGCAGGCCCTGGCTGGGTTTGAACCCTCCAGCTCCATGTATGTGGCTGGTGCCCTAACCGCTGAGCTATAGGCACTGAGCCCAGAAACATTTTTTTTATAAACATAGACAAGCATATTCTAAAATATGCTGAAGACAGAAACTTCAGGTCCGAGGATAGCTAAAATAATTTTGAAGAAAAGAGTGAAGTTGAAGGAATCCTTGTACCTAATATTAAGACTTAACATGTAACTATATTAGTCAAAACAATGTGGTACGGGATAGACAGAGAGACAGATAGAACAGAGATTTAACTCACATAAATTTACCAAACTGATTTTGACAAAGTTGCAAAATTAGTTCAACAGAATAACTACCTTGTAATACCTTTCAACAAATGGTGCTAGAGCAACATCTATAGGCAAAAAAAAAAAAAAAAAAAAAAGGAAAAAGTAACTTGACTTAAATCTCCATAATCTCTTATCTCCGTAATCTCCTAAATCTCTTATACAAAAATGAACTCAAATGAACCACACAGTTCAATATAAAATATAAAACCATAAAACTTCTAGAAAAAAATAGAAGAAAATCTTTATCAAGTTGAGGACGTTGCCCATATTCCTAGCTTTCTGGGAATTTTTTCCATGAAAGAGTACTGGATTTTTGCCAAATGCTTTTTCTGTAAGAATGATAAATGATTTTCTTCTTTGATCTATTGATAATTTAGATTAGATTACATTGATGATATTCAAATGTTGAAGCAGCCTTGTGTATTTTAGAATATTTCCCACTTGCTCTCAGCATATACTTCTTTTATTACATTGCTAGATTCAGTTTGCTTATATTTTGTTGAGGATTTTTATATCAAAGTTCAAAGACCTATAGTTTTCTTTTTCTCTTTTGTTCTTTTTTAATACCATCTTTGTCCAGCTTTGGTACCAAACTTATACTGTCCTCATCAAATGAGTTGGGAAATTGTCCTCTATTCCTAGAAGAAATTAATCTAATTCTTCTTTGAATGTTTGGTAAAATTATCATGAAACCATTTGGAACTGAAGATTTCTTTTTCAGGAGATTTTTTATAATTATTAATAATTCAATTTTTATAGTGGTTTTATAACGTTTAAGACAGTTCATATCACCCATTTCATCTTGGTTTTGGCTATTTGTAGTTTCTAAGGAATTAATATGTCCATTCCTTCCTAATGTGTCAAATTGATGAGGACAAAATTGCTCGTTGTATTTCTTTATTACTTTTTAAAATTAAATCATAGCTGTCTGCATTATATTTCTTTATTACTTTTTTAATGGCTGCAAGATATTTAGTGATATCCCCCAGGTTTTATAAGTTTTATTTTCCATTTGTTCAGTTATTTCAAGAGAATTTGTAGTTAATTGTTGAAGCATTTTTATGATTAGCTTTAAAATCCTTGCCTGGTAACTTCAACTTCTAATACATCTTGGTGTTGGCACCATTTATTTTTTCTCCTTAAAGATGTAATTTTCTTGGTTCTTGATGTGACGGGTGCTTTTTGATAGTGTCCTGAACATTTTGTTTATGATGTTAGGGTCTCTGGGGCCTCTTTAAATCTTTTTTTAGGAAGTAGTCACCCTGTTTAAATTTAGCATATAGGCCTTGACCTGCTTTTGTGGGCTGTGGTTCCAATGGCAGTTATTTTGATGCTTTGTTTTTGTGGGTTACTTGGGACTCCTACTGGTCATTGCTGGTACTACCTGTGCTGAAAAGGGTCTCCTCAGGCCAGGATGTAAGGTGTCTTGCAGGTGTGGGGTCATTGTGGTAACCTCTCCCACTGCAGTTTCTGGGTCTCTGGACAGGGGAGGATAACCTTTAAATCTCAGGGACCAGGAGACTTCCTGGAATAGCAACTTCCAGAAACTTGTTCCCTCTCACGGGATCTGTCTACTTGCTCCTGGTATCTCTGAACAAGGAGCAGGGTCTTGGACCTATGGGGACAAACAGGCTTCTCATATTGGCCATGTGTTTGGTGGTATGCCTTCAGCCAGACCTGCCTACCTACCCCAGTGAACCTGACTCTTGTGAGAGTCACTACTTGTCCTAAGCATTTTAATGGCCTATTGTCACTTCTACAATTTCGTTTAGATTTGGGGTCCTTGGTATTGAATCATGCTGAACTTTTATTTCACTTTACACTCTATTTCACAGTTTTCATCAAAACTTTTCACTTTTGATGTTAAAAAAAATGATGAAATGTGATGAATGACCAGTAATACAGAAGCTAAGGAGTTAAATACTTGAATCCATTGCCAAACAAACATGTTTTCATTCGATATTTATAGCATTTGAGAATAGAATAGTTTTTGTGTTTGGGGACTTTGGAAGCTAAATTTCAGTTTCATATGGCACACACAAAATCTGGTTGTTTTCATCTAGAAATTTTGGTCAAGGTAGCCTACCAGTACAGTCACTGGCAGGAGCTCAGCTCTCCTATGTGGGTCATTTATCTCTTTTTCTCACAAACACAGTTCCAAAGAAAGTGTATCTTCCTCAACTCCTGGTTATAGAGGCAACCAAGACAGGGCTCACCCTTACTTGGGACCCCTACTGGTCATTGCTGGTACTACCTGTACCACAAAAAGCACACTCTCACCTCCATGCATGGTACTACTTTTCTGTGTAAAAGATAGATAATTTGCAGATACTTAGCTAATCTTTAACTATCTATTTCTTATAGGAGAGGGTGAGTTCCCTCTCAATGAATATTTGAACATGTTTAATTTACGAATGCTGACATAAAGCCTAGGTACTGGTGCTGCTAAATTGTGAAGTATAGAATACATTTACAATTAATGTGGTTTATATCATCCAATATGAAAAGTAATCAAGTTGACTTGGCATAGCTTCTTTTCCTCTAAAGCATAAAGATCATTATTTGATAAGTATCACTTGCTAGGAGAAGGAATGCAACAGAAGGTAGAAAATATGGTAGATATCGGTGTGGACAACAACTGTGGCAGGTAGAATTTCTAAAATGGCTTACCAAAGATGTATTGACCCAAATCCTGCAACCTTTGAATATGTTGAGACATCACTCTCATAACCATGTTATATGGACCTTAAAGACAAGGTTGGATAGGTGGGTCCAGTGTAATCACCTGAGCCCTTATAAGTAGGAGTTTTATCCAGTTGGTGGTAGAAAAGAAAAAGAGATTTGAACCATGAGAGGAATTCAGTACACCATTGCCAATGGGAGAGTCACATGAAAAGAAATGTGGATGCTTTAAGGAGCTGAGAGAGGGCCATGGGCTACAGCCAGCAAGGAAATAGGGACCTCAGACCTACTACTGCAAAGAACTGAAACCTGCCAACAACCTGATTGAGCTTGGAAGCAGATTTCTCTCCAAAAGACGTGTGCAGTTTCAATTCAGCTAAAGGGGAAAAGCTGCTATGGCCACGTGCTCTGAGGGTTGGGGAAAATGGTATGTAATGAAGGATCTCCTATCTAAAGTTCTTTTTTATTCCTTTTCCCATGACACCAACAGAATCAACTAAAACCAGCTTGCTCAGAAGCCAGATGTCCGTCCTCAAGAGCTTAACATGCAGTGAAAGGAAGGATGACAACCAGTTCCACACTGCTCCACATGACACAGGCAAGCCAGACAGGGTCTCTGTCCCAGGGAGCCCAGCTGGCTTCCTTTCACCCAATGGACTCCTAAGGGTATAGATACATTTGGGAAAAACAAATCATATTTTAACTGGGCCCCGATTACTTCCTATTTAAAAGACTCCCTTATAAGTCAAGTCTACCTGCTTTAGAAACTGGATTTTCTTAGGGCTAGACTTGCACTTATAGTGCTTGAGGGTTTAATGTACACATGGATCGTGTAAGTAACTATAGTGCTTGCTGCAACTCCATGGTTTGAATTTGAAACATTAATACTTGATAGTTGGTTTATTTCATCCTCTTCATTCATGGGATCCCATCCAATGAACCCTTCTTTGGCCTAAAGGGTCAGCTTTTGGGGAGCTAAATATGAGGAAAATATGATTTTTCTATTCCATTTTCATTATTATTGATTAACATATTATTTTTAAAATAATAATTTTTTAAAAGTTTTTTCCTGTATTTCAAATAGTTGATAAATCCCACATATTCACAGTTCCCTGACACCTAAGGTGACAAATGTACCTCAGGTAGGAAGCACCTGAGTGACCAATGTGCACCTGTCATTACTCAGCCCTCATGTAATCAAACTCTGTTTTCATTAATGCTGATCTGTGTGACATCTTTTCCCAGTTTCAATTATCCTATCACGTTTCCATAGGAAAATGCACAGTCTGCTATAAGCACAGTCTCTAAAGGGCTTATTGAATGATGATTAGAACATGATTTCTTAGTTATTTCACTAACTCACATACCCCTTCTTGATACTACTCATTCAAAAAGGTAACATTCCTAATCATTTATAAATTCAAGTTTATATAAAGATGTAAATTTAAACCCCAGAATATGAATTAGAAAATTTGAACTCACAACTGAACACAACCCAACAAAACTTTTGGTTTTCTACATAGAGTTAAAGAACCGCAATAGTGACTATCAGAAATTTAAATGTTGATCAAGGCTCACCTGCATAATTTGGAGTGTCTAACGGGTCAACATTAAATAATTAGGAGTTGATAGTGTTCTCATTGAACATTTTAGGCTGCATGGTGGCCACACCTGTAATCCCAGCACTTTGGGAGTCTCAAGTAGGAGGATCTCTTAAAGCCAGGAATTTGAGACTAGCCTAGGCAACATAGCAGAAGTCTGTCTCTTAAAAAACAAATAAATAAATTATGGGAATGAGAGGATGAGTGTATCTCATTCTTCGGTAGAGCTCTCAATGGATGCTGGATGACGTAGATAAGCAAAACAATGGTAGTGCTATATTTACCTAAGCATTGGCCTTTAGTGTGAACTGCAAAGGAATTTTGCCTGAGAACCCACTCTGACAGATTAATATCTGTTCTCTGAAATATGGCCCCTTTATTAGCCCTCAGTCATATCTGAGCTGAGACAACTGTGATCCTTTTGCCTTTTTATATAAATGCCTTTTTAAATAAATGAGGAAAATATGTAACTGCTATTTCCCCTTCCACAGAAGTAGGCATCTTGCTAACAGATGAGTGTCTCAATGACAAATCCTCAGAAAAACTTACTCAAGAAGGAAGCCAAGTTTATGATGAGTGAGTGCTTGAATTTTATAAGAAGAGTTTTTTTTTCTGTTACCCACCAAGCTGGAAGTTTTAAAACACAACAGTCTTGTGTTCTTAGTATTTCAGATACATCTTCAGAAAACTGGCTCAAGACCTATGGCTTGGTTGCCAGGAAACTGACCATCATGGATGCCTTGTCAGTGGCTTCAGTCCCCCACACCTCGACCTACATCCCCATTCTGGACAAGCACGTTGTTTCCAAAGTCTTTGATGAGGTGACCTGTCCGTGTCTCCCTGCTTGAGTTATCTTTCATTTTCTGCCCAAATACAAAGTAGTCCACATTAATTTCTTAGATGGTTGTAGCAGAAATGTATTGTAGCCGTGGGGATAAAAATATTTGTAAAGGCAGTTAAAAAGAGAGAGAAAGGATAGCTCTTAAGAATTTTCACTTTTTAAGATGAGAGAAAATTGGCCTTTGTTGCCTTGTCAGTTTATGGCTTTTTGCTGATGGGTGGAAATAGGGAGTTGCAGAAATGTTCAAAAGCTCTCTAGGTCAGAGTAACAAGTGAATATCATCCAAGATGAAAGACAGAGAGAATGTGACAGATTCTGTCCTTCTTTTGCTTACCTTCTCTTCCTAAATTGAGGGGCATCTTCCCCATCATAAAAGCCTCCTAAGGAAAAAATGAGAGAGAGAGAGGAGAGGGGGAGGAGAGAGAGAGAAACAGACAAACAGAGAAAGGCAGAGAGAAAAGAGACAGTGTTGGTAAGAGAACCATCAGAGGCCCCCAGTCAGGCCCAAGAAGAGTAAAAGAACTTCCAGGCACAGTGGAGTTAAATGTAGAATAAGGCCAAGTAAGTACTGAACAGCTTACACTGAATTTGGCCACTAGGAAGTCCTTGTCACAAGTAGGGTGGAACAGCCAGACTGTGTTGGGATAAGGAACACCAAAGAGATGAGAGCACAAACTTTGAACCCCAGTGCTTCCTGGCAAATATAACTGCAACTAGTAATTTAAATAGTAACATATAAGGCTTTATAGTCACTAAGTGCAAACAATATACTTAGAAGTTCCTTTCTCATGCTAAAATATTTGCAGAGGAAATAATGCAATGTTTGCAATTTGTTTCAACATAAATTGGATGGTGGGAGGAGTAGATGGAGGGCAAGCAGCTGAAATAGATTGGCTGTGAGTTGATAATTATTAAATTTGGACAAATAGAATGCTGAAAGGGGGGCTCATTCTACCCTTCTGTCTGCTTTTTATATACAGTAGAACCTCCAAAGTTGACCACTTCCCTGCCTTGACCACCTCCTAATTTTCATAGACTGGACATGCACCACATGTATGATTCAGGACAATAAGCCTCGTTCCTTGTGTCAATGACCTCTGTATGTTGACCAATTTGATACAGTCCCTTGGGTGGTCAACTTACAGAGGTTCTACTGTACTTGAAATTTTCCCTAAAAGGTTGAAAAAATCAAAGGTAGGCTAACTTAAAAAAAGAAAGAAAGAAAAAACCTTATCTAACTGGCCTTGAAATAGTTGAGATTTGATGTGTTTGGAAGAAGCAAATGAATTGATGAAACTTTTTTCTATTAATCACATTTTAAGAACTATAACCCTTGCAGGCTGACATCCATCCTGGTATAACACAACCAGTGACTCTTACTCTGAAGGCTGTATGTTGGTTATCCTTCAGGCTGATTCCTGGCTATTTTGCCTCAAGATAAGCAGACCTGTTGTGACCCTCATGATTGGCAGGTTCAATTTAGACCTTCAGTGAACTCTAACCTGATAAGTCAGATATCAACTTATCACTTGAACCTGACTTCTTCCAGAAGCAGCAGAAAGTGAACACTGATTTATTTTTTCTAGGAAGTATGGTGACAGCTTATTCATATTGTGCACATTTATTATTTTAATATTCTTAAATTTCATTTGGAACAAAATATATTTAGTGAACTCTCCCTGGAAATAGAATTTTCTTGGAATTGTCATGCTTCTTTCTAAGCCTCCCAGCAACTTGAAATACATTGAAAAGTAAATCCTTAAAAAAGTGTAGTAGGATAGGGAAGCATAAACATAAAATCCAGGGAAGAAACCATATTTATAGAGTGGATACATAAAAATGTTACTTTGCATAAAACGTAAGTAAAATGAATGCAGAGCTCAGAAAAAGATCTATAACATATATGACAGACAAAAAGGGTCCCAAGAGCAATAGGGGGTGTATCAGTATAAATCAGTGTTCAGTATATAAACACACTTCCATACCATAATGGATAGGGGAATAAGAAAGTATGATAGATACCTCAGTGGAAAATCTAGGTGGAAAAAAAAAAAAAAACCAGGCTGGGCACGGTGCTCCTACCTGTAACCCTAGTACTCTGGGAGGCTGAGGTGGGTGGATTGCCTGAACTCATGAGTTCAAGACCAGCTTGAGCTGGAGCAAGACCTTGTCTCTAAAAATAACTGGGCATTGTAGCGAGTGCCTGTAGTCCCAGCTACTCAGGAGGCAGAGGCAAGAGAATTGCTTGAGCCCAAGAGTTTGAGGTTGCTGTGAGCTATGGTGCCATAGCACTCTATCAAGGGTGACAAAGTGAAAAATAAAAAAGGAAAAAAAGAAAAACATTCAAAGTCATATATAAAAATATTTAACTTTACTGGTATCCAAAGATAAGCATTCTGAAAAGGCACAAATTGAAAATCAATTAGACACTTCCTCTCCCATCAAATTGGTAAGGTTGAAAAATAGTAAACAATGATAGGGTAAAATGGGGACTGTGACATCCTGCTAGTAGGAGAATACATTGGGGTGACCTTAGTACAATATGTTCAGAGCTTACGTTTACCCCCAATAAATCTACGTATTATCAGGAATCTATATAAAGGAATAACCAGATATCTTGTCAAATATATGCAGAGAATAATTACTTCTGCCTTGCATCTAATAATGAAAAACTGAAAACAGCCTAAATATCTAGTAGTACATTCATATAATGGAATTTCATACATTTATTAGATATCATGTTTCTGAAGAATTAGTAATGACATGAGGAAAAGCCCTCAGAATCATGCTACAGGAAGACATTAGAGTACAAAAGTCCTCATATAGTATGTTAGCAACTTGGTTATATGTATGGAGTATATAGACACAGCTGTATTTTGGTTCCATGTATGTATTATATAGACACAGCACTTTCTCCCTCCTTCCTTCCTTTCTTCCTTTTACCAAAATGTTAACAGCTTTACTGGGTGGTGAGATTGTTAGAGAAGCTTGTTTTTTATTTTTATAATTTTTTTGCTCTTTATTTATATAGTTTTTGGGTTTTATTATAGTACTTTTAACTCTGAACATATATTAATTATGTACAGAAAAAAGTTAATAAAAGGTACAGACCTTAAAGCAAATGATAAAATGATATAAAGAGAACTTAATTTTTAATTGTTTTATTTTTATTTGGTAAGTAATGAATATATTCTCAGCATAAGAGATTTAAACCATTCGAAAGTCTTTAGAGGAAAATGTGGGGAATCTTTTCTCACAATCATTCCCATCCATGGAGGAAACATTTTGAACAGTTTGGTAAATTTCCTTCCAATCCTTTTTCTACACATACATACGTATGCAAGTGTGTACATAACATATACAGAGGGTGCCAAAAAATGTATGCACATCTCAAGAAAGGAAACAAGTGTATTAAAATTGTAATATTCAGTATGTACCAATAATGTTTGTTATATTGTATCTTATATCTCCTGTAATTGCAGAAGTCAAATGTGACTCATGTATTACAAATTTAATATAGATTTTTTTCGCTTTCTTTAAATGTGCATACATTTTTGGCACCTTCTGTATTTATACATATATACATAGTGATTTTATAAATGTAAATAAAGCAATACCATATAGATTTTTCTATTTTGTCTTTTAAAAATTATGTCATAAGGCCAGGCATGGTGGCACACTCTTATAATCTTAGCACTTTGGAAGGCCAAGGCAGGAGGATTTCTTTTCTTTTTTCTTTTTTTTTTTTTTTTTTTTACAGTTTTTGGCCGGGGCTGGGTTTGAACCCGCCATCTCCAGCATATGGTGCCGGTACCCTACTCCTTTGAGCCATAGGCGCCACCCCCAGGAGGATTTCTCAAACCCAGAAGTTTGAGACCAGACTGCGCAACATAATGAGACCCCGTTTCTTTAAAAAAAAAAAAAAATTAGCCAGGCATAGTGGTGTTTTCCTGTAGTCCCACTTTCTCAGGAGGACTAGATGGGAGTATCGCTTGAACCCCAGGAGTCTGAGGCTACAATAAGCTACGACTATGTCATTGCACTCCAGGCTAGGTGACAGACAAAGACTCTGCCTCAAAAATAAAAGAAAGATAAAAGAAAAACAACCAACCTTATATCTTGGAGACTTCCCACGTGAGTAGATGTTGGTCTACCTCATCCTCATTAGCTACAGGGTTCTCCCCCAGTGTTGATGGACATTCACATTGTATTCTTCCTAACCCTATTAAAAATAGTCCTGTAACATTTCACTGTACAGATTTTTGAGCACATGTACAACTCTGTCTTTGGGACAGATTCCTTCAAGTGGGATTGCTGTAACCAAAGAATATGTACAGCTTAAATTTTGATAGATAAATTCAAATCATCTTCCAAATACATTTTATATTTCTAGTTTGTATCCCCACAGTGTACAATAGTGGGCTTTTCCTAAGAGGAACTCTATATAATACTTGGCAATCATTAGTCCCGTGAGTGTAGAAATGTTTTGAAAACCCCGATATGCAGTCATGAAACCCTGATTCAACTTGTCCTTTCCTATGCTGAAGAAGTAAACTTAGTAACTCAGGCCAGCATTCAGAAATTTGCTCTCTCTACCTGTACTCTGGTAAAGATGCTATTCCTACTCTGAGGTTGTCATAGGATTAAAAGGAAGAATGCATATAATGGACAGTACTTGGCAGATAACTTCATACATGTTGGCTTTCATTATAAAAATATTCAACAAATGCGCGCCCACAGTGTGGCTGTACCAGACTCAAGACAACAGCGCTGTCTAAAGGTCGGAGATGAGAATATTCTCCTGAAGAACAGGACCCTCACTACTAGTTCTCTCATCATTTTTCCTTCTTGTAAATCCAGACTGGACTCTGAAGACTCCTTCTTGACAGCCAAGATTCCTACCCCAGCACAACTTAGACAATCTCATGAAAAAAAAAAATAGCAATGTGGCTCGGC